AGAGGAGGAACTTGTTGGATTGTAGATGATCACTCTGGTCAGGTTCAACCTTGTGTGGATTTTTACTACTAATAAGAAACTTCCTCAAAACCTACTTAAAACATTTCAAGAAGACACATTATTATATTTATTAAACAGTAAGTTGTGGGAGTTGTTATATCATTCCTTAAAACTGAGTTTCTAACATTGGAAGTTTGATATATTTGGTGTGACACATCTGTTAACTTTAGAAAATGTGTAGAATGAAAGCATGTTGCAGTTAACACTTTTCAGACCTTCTTCCTCTTTGTTGTGCAGTCAGTTTTTTCTGCATTTAAGCACAGTATTACCACCTTTTGTTTTTGCTTTGCTCCTGTGGTAGTTTTGCATTTGACCCATTGCTGTGTTGTAATTTATAACTGAAACTGTTTGACACACTAATGGCACTTAGTACAGTAAACTTGATTCTTCATTGCCCAGTTACGTCCATCTTAAGGGCTTTCGTAGGGGGTGTACTATACAGGGAGAGAGGTAGGAAAGGAAAGACCACACTCATTTCGAAAGAGTCTTATTTTAAAAATACTAAACACTATAGTCTTGAGGAATTCTGAATTCTAAGCAAGAATAGGTAATGCTTAACCATAGCTAAATGAGGAAACATTGGTTCAACTATATAGAATTTGATAAATTTAATACTTATGCTGTTTTCTGCTATCAGTCAGGTGTCCAATAGTAATTTCTATGCTGCGCAACAAAATGGTCACACGTGCTAATCTACTGTTAGTAGCTTTGAGGGACATTTGCTGTCTTGTGAGAATGCAGTATGCACTTATGCCATAAAACTCACTTGCACAGACCGCACCGCACATATGTTGGAGATCAAAGAAAATTTGTTTTTTTTCATCTGAAGAAAGACCAGGAGAAAAGTTCTTAGTCGCAGTCAGGTGGCCATTTCATTTAGAAATAGTATGAAGAGTGTTTTCCATCTGAATGTTTATTATCAAATAAACCTAATCCAGCATAGTGAAGGCCTTAAGAAGTACTGAATCTAGTTATCCTCACCAAACCACACTTCTGAGAGGCATGTAAAAGATTTTGAAGTTAAAGAGGAAATCTGCAACTACTGAAAATATACCACATATTTGTAAGTCAGTTTATAGTCCATGTTAAAACCAGTTAGGAGAATAGGGGAAGCAAAAGTTAAAAAAATAAGAATCTACTGAACTGTGGCAGTCGTAAAAACCATGTAATTTCATATTAAATTAATTAACCGTGTCACAGAGGCTTAGTTGGCTTTTCATTTCTGGCTCTCTATACAAATAATATTCTTACCTTTTATATAATTAATATCTTAACCTTTAATTTCAAAATTGTCTGACACTGCAGTATCAAATTCCTCTTTTCTCTATCACCTTAGCACATTTACTATTGATTTGTTTCCATTGTGTTGCATGTGTGTTATTTTTATTGTTCTCATGATTTTACCTCTTGTATTTGTGCTAAAGCTTTTGGTATTTTATTTTATTCCACTGGGATTAGAGAATGAGTTCTCTGCATTTGAAATATACTAAGATTTCTCTATAGTCTGTTATAATCATGTTTTACTACTCAGTGGAAGGAGAAGGTATAGTTTCCTGTGAGTACAAAGTTTGGTGTGCAATATATTGAATCTCATTATCGATCATACCTGCTGTAGCCTTACCTGTCAAGGACTAGATAGATCATCATGATAGGTTCTCACTGCAATGCTATCAGGTCAGTTTCCTTGCTGTTTCATATGTAGACTTATAAGTAGCTTATATATTTTTAAAATATGAAATTAATATCTTTCTAATTCTATCTTATATATTATTACTCCTATTAGTTTTTCACATGTATGGTACATGCCTAATATATTTTTGTCTCTTTGTATTTTCTCATATCATTCGGCTTTTAGGTGTCTCTCAATAGTAGCTTCTGGTTGAATATTTACTTTTTTTAATGAAATCTAAAGTTTGATCAATTAAACCAACTCATATTTTTTGTCAAATAGTCATTTAAGTTTTTCTGGTTTTGTTTAGATCTTTTTGAATTATTTAGGTTTACCTTCATTTTGCCCCTTTTGTTAGCTGTAGGGACTTGTTTTTTTTTTTATATTCTTAATGTTCTTTATTTTTATATTGTTGAAATATATATACTATATACACACACACACATATATAACTTGTAGGTCTTCTAGACCTTATTCATCAAAAAACATGAGTCAAAACTTTGCTAAATCACTAAGCAGTACCCTTTGGTTTTAATTTTTCAAAATGAAAATATCTGTTGCTTTCATTGATTTAATGCGTGCTCACTGTTTTTAAATGTTGAAATTCAGAAAGTGAGAATATCCTCATAATCCTGTTCTCTGAAGATGACTACTAAATTTGTTGTGTATGTTTGCATAAATCATGTATAAATAAATATATTCTAGTTTTAGCATAAATAAGATCATACTTGGGCCGGGGATTTAGCTCAGTGGTTCTGGCGCCTGCCTCGCAAGCACAAGGTCCTGAGTTCGATCCCCCGTACCAAAAAAAAAAAAAAAAAAAAAGATCATACTCTTTGTGATCTGCTTTATTAATAACATGGTCAACTCCACATGTCAGCACCACAGAGCTTCTGGACTTTTAGTTGGTTCGTGGGAGTTCCTGACACAGAACTACATGAATTCCTCAGGCCCAATCCTGTCACATGTACACGCAGTCCCAAATCAGTAGACACTTTATTGACTAACTGTTGTGTCTTAGTTTAGCACTGGTGGTAATAAGAGAAGTATAAGACACAATTTCTGACCCCTAGGAACCTTTAAAATGTAATTAACACAAGATATAAATACATTAAAAGTTAAATCACAATAAAAGATAAATTGCCAGTACTTTAAGCTGTTGCTCCTTCCCTCCATTGAGGTTCCTGTTCTTGGAACATCAACTAAATGGTATTCATTATTTGCATGTTTGCTTCCCCAGAAAAGCAGCTAAGTCTTTGAGTCAGAGCATGGCCTAACTCACAGTAAGTGTAGTAAACACTTGTTGAATTAAATCATCATCTTTTTAAGTCTGCCTCCTTTTGTTAGTAAAACAACTCAAAGAAATAACGCATTTAAAAGAGAAGACCATTATTACTTTGAGCTGCAAATGTATTTTTTTTTAAATTTTCTTCATACTGTTATATTAAATCTGCTTGCTTGATCCAGTTTATGTGGAGAGGTACTGTGGTAGTGACTGTTTTTGGCACCCAGTCTTTTGAGTATTTTGTCTCCATAGCAAAAGTGCAGAAAAACCCATTTCCCTAGTTTAGAGTATGTGAGAGAGAGGTAATGGGGAGAAATTGTATATTGACTTAATCACCAAATGCCTTTGTCATTTAGCACAAGAAGCTAACTGTTAAAGACTTAGGGATTACCTTCCATACTGCCTCTTAACAGGAAGATCCTGAGGCCCAGGAAGCTCCATGCCTCCATATGGGTAATGGCAGCAGTCACTAAAGCCTGGGGCTTCCACCTCATGTTCTGTACAATTTAATGCTGCATTTCTTTATAAAAGTAGAACTTAGGTAAGGAAAGGTTAGGCAAAAATTAAATAATTGAGGACAGTACATTCTGCTAGAGAAAAGGGGTTCTAACTTCTCAGGGGTCCTGGCCCCTTTGGAAAATTTCATGAAAAAAATGAAAGAAATTCTTCCTTAAAAATATATCTACATACAAAGAATTGTAGATTCTTTAAAAGTCTATTCGTGCATTGCCTAGTGGTCTGTAGTTCTCATAAGGAGCGGTACAGAACCAGTAATTATCATACTGTATCTCTGTCATGAGTTAAATTGTAGAGTATTGTGCTTTTCAAAGGAGGACAGTCAACTGTTTCCCAGGGAGCTGCTCTAAGCTTGGCATAAATGCAGCCTAAATTCCTGTAGCATCCCTTGAAAAGAAGGAGAGGGCAACAGCAGCTTTGGATTTGGAGTTGTGACTCTTACATTAAACACCACGTATTTAACATCTTCACACACATATTCGTCCAGATGTATTTGTATGACTTTACCAGATAAAATACTACTTTGAGAAAATTCTTTGGTTTAACTTTAGGATTCTACCTTCAACCTTGGGGAAACATTGGAGTTTGTTTCTCCTCTCCTCTGCCAGTTGAAGTACTTCAGTGAAAAAGTTGGAGAAGTTGTGGGTAGGAAGTTAGTGGGGCAGGAATATTTTATATTTTTAAGAATGGGTGATACAGATATATAGATATCAAATACATATTTTGTCAATCAGTGAAGAATGAAATTCTCATGGAAGAAGGAGGAGACTGTAATCCTGCGTTTGTGCCTCTAGCCCTAGTGTGCTTGACATGCTTTCCTCTTGTGATATCTTCGTCTCCTTTTAGAATTAGAGTAATGATGACCTCAGAATAAGTTAATTTATTTCCTGTCCCTTCACTTTTCTGCAGCAGTGTGTAGGTATTTGGAGAATTTACCAGCAAGACTGTCTGGGGCCTGAGGTTTCTTTGTGAGAAAGTAATCTGTAGTGTCTGATCGTTCATGCTAGAGGTTTATCAGTAGTATTGATCATCTTGAAGAATCAGCTTCTGATTTCTCTCCATGTTGTTTTGTTTTCTATTTGATTTCTGCCCTAATCTTTAGTCTTTCTTCTGTTTACTTTGATTCAGTTTACTTTTTACTTATTTTAGTGAAGTACAAAGATCTCTAAGCTCTTTACTTTCCTAGGTAGATGTTCAGTGCTATAAATTTCTCCTTGAGGTGTTGTTTTGCTAAGGCCTTGCATACGAGAATCCTTTCCTTCCTGTCATCCACACAGAGCCTTGGCATTATCCTCACTTTTTGTCTACATTCATGCAGAATTTCAGGTTTTTATTTCTCTTTGCAAGAGAAACGTAATTGTTTCATGAACCTCTTAAGCTTTAAGAAAGGAAAAACGTCAAGAGACCTCATTTCCATTCTTCTGCCTTCCATCAGTGTAAACATTGTTTTCCTCTGGTCTCTTTTATAAGGGAGAAGATGTCAACCGGACACTGGAAGGGGGAAGGAAGCCTCTTCACTATGCAGCAGATTGTGGACAGCTCGAAATCCTGGAATTCCTGCTGCTGAAAGGAGCAGATATTAATGTATGTAGAGAAAATATATTAATACATAGTGACATGAATAATGTATGTTATTCTAGAAAAACTTGTATAATTTGGGTAGTTGTTTCCTATAGATACTTGAAGTTACTTGTATAAAAGTCCAAAATTACACCAAATTTCCTGTAACTTAGAAATACATAGTTGGGATTTTAAAAAATAAAACAAACTTGACATTTTAAAGATGATAAGCTAAGGGTTACATATCTCCCCATGGCTGCTGCTTTTCGAGTTCTGCAGTTTGGAGTGTTGCTAGGGCGTAGCTTTGTATAGCTAAAGGAGTATGCTAGCAGATACTGTCAGGTAAATGAGCCTAGGACTCCTCAAAGTTGTAGGCTACATCTGAACTGCACTTAGAACAGTGGTCATGTGTGAACAAACATCTCCTGACTCCGGCCTTTTGTAACTCATGCGTTTCAGAGTTTTAGAAGATTGTTTTAAGTGACCATAACAGCAGGATAGATGAGCTTTCACATTTCCGGAAATACCATGTCACCTGGCCCAACTGTGGCAGTCTTCCTTTACCTTCTCATCAGCTGTGTCCTACCCCTCCTTCCCTTCCTGTGCCACATGGCATTTCTACAATAGTGTAAAACTTAGGCTCAGAGGGGCTGAATTACAAGTCACAAAATAAGTGGCAGATCCAGGGTTTGAGCTGGGGTCAGAGACCTGCTCCCTCTACTGCACTGGCTCCCAGAGCTCTTTGGTAATAACTCTCCAATCTCTCTGAGGAGAGATTCTATATACTGTACAAAAAGGCAGATAGTATTCATTGGTTTTGAAATATTCTCAGAAACTCCCTAATTATATCTAAAAATAGGAAAGAAACATGGCTAAGTTTGTTGTTCATTATTCCACAGGCTCCAGATAAACACCACATTACCCCACTTCTGTCTGCTGTGTATGAGGGCCATGTTTCCTGTGTGAAGTTGCTTCTGTCAAAGGTGAGGCCAATGCTCATTATTCCTGCTGTGTTTCCCATTACTGTATAACTAAATATTTAATTATGAATTTATATAAATCTTGCATGGCTGCAGGGACAGAAAACTAGAGGCAGTATCCAAAATCGAGCCCTAGAACAGTATTACTCAAAATAGCTGGTCCACAGACTAGCCATTTCATGATGGATCAGGAGCTTGAGCTGGTCTCTTTCATCAAGAAAATCTTGTTTTAGAAAAATAAATAAATGTTAGCTGAAGGAAGCACTATATGTAGTAAAGTAGAAAACGTCACAGCTGAGAAACAGTCTGCAACATGGCACCAGGCCACAGGCACACTCTGAGAGTAGCACTGGCTTGAAAATTGGAAGCTCTGTTTTTTAATAGTCCACACTGAGCAAGATTAGTAGATATTTTACTGTAACTAATGGCTAAGTCAGCTGGTTTCTTAATGTGGTTGAAATAGTGGTAAATTTGAAGTTTCCCAATGTTTTTTGTCCTTGCTGTTATATATAAACTCTTAGATGGAATTCAGAATCTAGCCTCGGGAGTCAACAAGTTACAGTAGTAGCAACCACTCTGGCTACGTTAGATATTGGAAGGCGAGAAATCTTCATACAATATGGGACTAGTATTAATCCTAACATTGCCATTTCATGACCATTCTATAGAGAGTGCTATTTATAATATTTTCATTTGAGATCTTACAGTAAGGCCTGATAAAACAAGCACCGAAGAATATAAATTAGCTGGATGTGGTGGCACACGCCTGTAATCCCAGCACTTGGGATGCTGAGGGAGGAGGATCAAAACTTCAGGTCTCACCTAAGTAACATAGTTCCTGTCTCAAAATTCCAAAAGAAGAGGGGACACTGGGGATTTAGCTCAGCGTGAAGACCCTGTCCTATGATCAGTCTCCAGTACCACAAAAATAATTAATTAAATGTCAAGTACTTTAACAGAATGCCTGATAAATAGTAAGCACTCAAATAATAGCTTTTATTATAAGTGACTGAAAAGAATTTTATGCTTCATAAGTTGAGCCGCATTAAGGTATGAAGTTGGAAAAGACATAGCACATATATTTTTTTTTCTTTTTCTTTTTTTTGGTACTGGGGATCAAACTCAGGACCTTGTGCTTGCGAGGCAGGCGTGGCGCCACTGCCACTGAGCTAAATCCCTGGCCCAGTAGCACATATCTCTTAACCCTTTATTCACAGTTCTTTAAAGATACAGCTCTAAAGACAGTCCTCTAAAACTAGGGGATTTTCTACTCTACACTGGATGTTTTAAATCTTTATTTGTTGTTGTTGTTTTGTCTTTTGGATATATATATCTGCAGCAGTTTTCAGGTACCACATACCATACTGATAGGACTGATGCAGGTCTCCCAAAGCAAAAGTAAATGGCAGTATTATTTTCCGTTTCTAGTGAGTGCAGCAGCTGTGATAGTGTGGACTCAGAGATTTCCAGGAACTCTGTGTCCCTCCCTGACGCCTATGAAAAGATTGCAAAGTACTTTTGAAAACTAACAGATAATTTCATCCCTGGAGAAATGTTTGCTTATTATATCAAAATATTGTTACCACAGGCAACAAATACTGATTTTTTGCATCACAGATGTATATAATTCCACTATTGTGTGAGTTAGGACTCTGTATTGCAAGTACTTAAAACAAGAATTAAACAGTGAAGAGATCATATTGACTCAGAGAACTGAAGAGTTGAGGTACAGCTTGGCCATGAGTTTAGACCACGTGATCAAGCTTTAATTTTTTGACTCTCAGCTCTCATTCTGATTTAATTCCCATGGCCTCAGCCTATCTGCTAGTGAAGTGTATAGTAAAAGAAAGAAATTAATCTACTCAGCCAACAGCTTTGTTCTCTGAAAATAAAAACCTCTGTGGGATCCTGTTAGCTTCAGATTATTTACTAAATGAACTGCCTTGAAGCATGCTGTATCTGGAACTGTACATCAGAATTTTTCTTTGTGATGGCTTTTTCCTCTTAGAAAAGCAAAACGAGGCATGTTATTGTTATGCTAAAAGGGTGGAAACATTGTTCTTAATATTCCTTACTCTCAAAACATGGTGCTTCAGCTTTTAAGCCCTTGTGATTGTAGTTTCCATTGTTACAGAATCTTCCACATTAAAGAACTCCTGAAAGTCCAGTTTGACTTGCATGTACATTAAGCCCTAACATGTTAGCCTTTAGTATGTACTGTTGCTAAACTATTGAGTTGTCTAACTAAGGAATTTTCTTTTACTTGTACTCATATCGTTCTTTTATTTGGTTCTGAGAGCCTTGTTTTTGTTGCCAAATAAATGACATTCAGAGAAGACTGTTGATGGCAGATTGGTTATAGCCAGATAGAGTTGTTGCTTTATATGAAAGGATTTTTGTTTTAACTTTTGAAAACAGTATAGAAAATTTTAATTCTGGTTTCAAAATTAATTACTTTGATCTTATCGCATGGTCTTTAATTTTTTTCAAAATCTATTGTGCTCTTTTAAAAATCATTAATTGCTAAAATAGGACTATTAGATGCACCTTTTAAAGGTTATAATCAGTATTTGTATTGAGTCTAGTTCTGCCTTTGAAAACATAGAATCCTATGGATTCCAAAATCATTGACATTTCAAATATGTAATTAGCATAGGAAATAAGGAATAATAAATTCCAATTTAGAAATGCAATATGATCACAGCTAATGGGAGTGTTATGACTTGTGTCTAGATGCCCCTTCAAGCCTCATGCAGTCATAGGGGTGCTTTTCAGAGGTGGCTGGATGTAAAGTGTGTGGTGCTAAGATCAAGACTATGTGATTACTAAACCAGTTCACTGATAGGTTTGGCATAGTTCTGGCTAGGATTAAGAGTGTGAGTGCTACGCCCACCCTAGGGCAGGTATCCTTCATAGAAGATAAGGGACAGAAAGATGGCTGATGTTCTCACCTTTCTGCGTACCAAGGACTATTTCTCCTCTGCATTGCTCCTCTGCCAGGCTACCCTGCTGTGGAGCCAGCCAAGTGTGGACTGAAACTTCCACATACTATAAGCCAAATAAACCTTTCCTTCTTTAACTTTGGATGTCAGGTATTTTGTCTCAACAACAAGAAAAGTAACTAAGATGGGGATCACAAAATATTGCTAGAATATTTGGAATCAGAGTATCTGTGATATATCACTTTTAATTGACTGTGAGGTCAAACACGTAAGTATTATTATCTCCATTTTTATGGATAAGAAAACTATTTGTCTCTGGGAAATTTACCTGCCTGCAAGTCAGATAGAATACAGTGGAATCAAGATTTGTTGCAAGATGTATGATTTAACACCTATGTTCTTTCTTCAACTTGAGATTGGCTTTCTGAATTAGCCAGGGCAGTTATGAGAAATGGAACCTGTCAATATCTGCAGGCAAAAGGAACACACAGCCTGATTAATTGTTGAACTGATAAATTAGAAACATGCAGACAACAAATGTAGGGCTCCTACTTGAAGATTGAAGTCTGAGCACATGCCATGCTATCCCTTTTTTTGCCCCCAGTGACAGAAGAGATGTTTTCAGTGAATGAAGTAGTATTTGCTTTGAACCATGAGAAGTATTTCATTAGACAAGAAACTGTAATGAATCCTTAAAAGACAGAAAGCAGGCAGGGTAGGGTCAAAGAAGAAAACATTTCCAAATGTGGTAGGAGCTGATCCTAGGCAGCTCAAAGCTAACTGATACCCAGTACCACTGAGCAGTGGATGGAATGATAAGTTGCATGTGCCTCAGGAAGAAGAAAGATGCAAGAATGAGTCATAAATAAGAAATCAATATGTGAATAAAGCTAAAACCAAAGAACTGGTAAATAATAAGATAGAAGAGGGGTGATTAAAGCCCTGATGCTTTCACCCCATCCAGATTGTGAGAGAAACATTACCAAAGCTAGTAAGAGGAGACAAGGGGAAGGACAGAGAGGTGAAACAGGTACAAATGCAAGCTCTAGAATCTTCGTGGGAAACTGAACTATGGCAGAGTAATGCATGTGAAAGAGGTGTCCATGGTAGAGAAATGGCAGCAAACAGTGCAGCGCTCTATAAAGGTCAGGCCCAGCACTCTTGAGCCCATTTTTATCAAAGTGAGAACAGTCAGAAGTGTGATCGTGTGTCATTTAGAATTGTAATTATCTCAGTTGATTAAGGTTATTTTTTTCCCTAGAAATCTTAACCAGGAATTTTTTGGTATAAAATGTTGCCTTAGTCACTTTTCCATTGCTGGAACAAAATACCCAACACTCAAGACTTGAAGAAGGGAGAGGTTTATTTTGGCTCCTTGTTTTTAGAGGATTCAGTCCATAGTAGGCCAGCTCCCAGACAGAAAGGGCATGGTGGAAGAGTCTGGCAGAGGAAAACTGCTCACCTACCGACAGCCAGGAAGCAGAGGAAATGGAGGAGCTGGAGACTAGAATACACCCTTTCAAGTCATGCCCCCAGTGACCCACTCTTTTTACATTTTAGGAGGACATTTTAGATCTAAGCAAGGGTAGTACAAAAAAATCCTGTAGTTCAGAAGCAGTCAGATTTTCCTTAAAGGATCATCTATGCCTTTGCAGACCATAGTCACTCTCATAACTTTGCCACCAGTGGTACACTGGTGCCTGGGCATGGCTTCATTCCAGTAAAGCTTCATTCATACACAAGGGTCTGGACCACAGTTTGCCAGCCAACTCCTGCTGTAGCTCATAGTTTGGAATTTGTGGTATACATCACTTTAAAACCCTAGCCCCTCAGTAGTAGATGATTGTTCCTCAGTGCTACAAGTTGAGTGTATCATTCTGGATGTTATTAGACTATCCTAGCACTTAGTTGTCAGAAAATTTCATTAACATAGCCAAAGAAGAGCTTATAGGACAATAATCTGAGATTTTCATTGTTCATTACTAAACTGCTCTCATCAAAATCTTAAATATGTACCTGAATAATAATAATGCTTGAACACATTATTTAGAAGAGGGTTAA